CCTCCCTCCCTCCCTCCCTCCCTCTCTCTCTCTCTCTCTCTCTGTGTGTTTTTTTATATTTGTGCTTCTTTGAAGACCCTTGATTCACAACATTCCAGATTATGGAAGAAATATTATTACAGCATTGTATAAAGTGACAAGTAAAAATAAAACCAAACATTTGAGTGACATTCTCAAGTCCATGGCACTCAGTTCTGACTATGGCATTATGGAGCACTGAGATGATAACCAGTGCCACTGAGGAGTCTTCTAAGCACTGTGATCTTGCTCCTCAAGAGTAGGCCCATACCTGTTCTTGAACAAAAACTTTGCAATGAGTGTGGGGTGGGGGTGGGAGATGAGGGCATGGCTCAGTTGGTGAAATGCTTCCTTTGCAAGTGAAAGGCCCTGGGTTCAATTCCCAGCACGACATGCACTGACATGGTGATGTAATCTCAGCAGTTGGAAGATGGGAGGCAGCAAGATCAGAATTCAAGGCCACACTGAAGAGATGGCCCAGTGGGTAAAACACTGCTGCACAAGTGAAGACCTGAGTTCAGATCCTTCGGACCCATGTGTCCCTACTGTAAGATTGGATGTAGAAACAGCAGAAGACCCTGAAGCTTTTGGGCTAGCGACAATATCACAGGCAGTGGCAAGAAGAGATCCCATCTCAAACAGGGTGGGAGACAAGGGTGACACCCAAAGTTGTTCTCTAACTGCCACACCCATGTCACAGCTTGAGTGTGCCTGCATTCACATGAACACACACTTAAACAGATGTATATACACACACACAAATAGACACAAAGGTCTTGTTTTAAGTTCAAGGTCTTCCTCAGCTACACAGGGAGATCAAAACCAGCCTGGGCTACAGACCCTGTCTCAAAAAAAAAAAAAAAAAAAAAAATCAAAAACTAAACAAAAAAAAAAAAAAAAAAAAACTTTGTGAATCAAAATATTTAGTAAAAATGTTTGATTATTACTGGCTAACTCCTCTCCCAAATAATACTCGATTCCTGTGCAATGTCTTTTCTGAGTTGAAAATCCTTGGGATTTTGAAGTCAGATAAACACTAAACCTTCCAAGGCCTGGCCCTGCCATTCCCTTACCAGCTATTCTGGGTCTCCAGCCAGAGTTCTCCTTTACCACCGTGGTTATGTCCAGTCTCCATCACAGCCCTGTGCTCCTGGAACTGACCATTTGAGCTGGAGGTCAAGGTGCTGTCATCATACAAGCCCAGTGACCACCCCACGGCAGCTGAGTCAACCACCAGCTGCCAGGTGCCATGCTAGGGGGACTAGGTCAGTCAATGACTATGATTGCAGCATAGTGCTATAAACTATGTCCTCTGAGCTATTCAATTGAATTTCATAAAAATTTCATTACAACCTTGATGTACAAAGAAGAATTACTGAGCTAAATAGCTACATATATTTGACTGACAACTGAGTCAGATTTAATATTCAATACATCAAACAAGGAGGCCTTAACCTAACGAATATGCCAATCAAAAGCTCGTGGGTTCTGTATACTTGGGGTCTTTCACTGAAAACACCTGGCTATTCCCAGTGCTAGATTAGGAGTGTTTCTCTACCAGCTCTACATTACACTCACAAAAATAGCTTTAAAACCTCAAACCAACCACTCCTGAGACCCACCTCAAACCCTGAATCTTTGGAGTGGTTCCTGTCTTTGTCTTTAGTGCTAGGGAACAAACCCAGTACCTCATGCATGCTATTTTAGCCAGTTATTCTACCACTGAGCTACATCTCTCGTCCTTGCTGTTTAATCAGTATTTTTAAAAAGAGATGGGAAGGTACAGCTAGATGGCTCAGCGGATAAATGTGCTTGCCATCAAGTCTGACAACCTGAGTTCAAGCCCGTGGTAGGAGAGAACTGATTCCTGCAGTTGTGTCTAAATCAACATGCGCCATATGCCATGGCATGCAGCCCACTCCACCACACACACACACACACACACACACACACATACACACACACACACACGCACACACCACC